TTAAGTTTACATTTGTTTGTCTTTCACGAAAGGTTTACATATGTTTATCTTTCATAGAGGGTTTACATTTGATCATCTTACGTGGTACCTACTGACAAGTAACAAGTTGATATTCAATTGAGTTTCTTTTGATTTCTGGTTGGTGGGACTCGTAAATCTCGGTGAGAAGTTACCATAATTCAGGGTTCATAAAGGTTTACTTTTGTTATTCATGGTACATGATACGAATTTATTGGTTCTAAGTAACAAGCTGACACTTCAGTGCACAATGAGTTATGCCTAAATAGATCAGAAATTGTAATTCTTTTAAATATAAAACTATTATACCATTTAAGAGTATATTATTATATTTTTTGAAAATATTATTATAATTTTAGTAATATAAAATTTTTATTTTTATTAATATTTTCCTATTTGCATTAGGATTAATATTCCTAATATTTATGAGCATTAGTTTCTTATTCTTATTAGAGTTAATATTCATAATTATACTAATTTACTATTTCCTACTTTAACTCTAGTTAGGAAAGGATATAAATAACTTTTTAATTTTAGTTATTGATCAGTCAAGTATTCAATAATATATTTTGAGAGTTTTTTATTTTTCTGTTTGTATACAGTCAGATCTTTAAGTGTAATACTTAAGATTTCTTAGATGTGATGTCTAAAAAACTATAACTGTGATATTCAAGTTTTTCCTCTAATTTCTTAATAAGTAAATTACCTAATTTATTCTACATCAATGTAGTATCAGAACAAAAAATATCCTTCCAACTATATTCTCCAAAGTTTTTATCTAAATCGCCCCGAACCTATCTAAAAAAAATTGCCAAACAAAAAAATCAAAACCCTAACAAAGTCACTAGCACATTAACAAGCCACCTACTGAAGGTTGTCGACATTATCACCACCACCAGCTCCAAAAGGTTGCAATCAGCCAACCACCAAAGCCCTATTGCAAAACTCCACTAGAAACTACCAACCGACACAAGTTCCTCAGTCACTATGTTATGTTCCCCAGACCAGGATTTTGTCACTGGGCAGTTATCTGGAATTTTCCATTCCAGAATTTGCTTCTTCTTTTTGTTGCGATTTCTTGAACGGTTTATTCGTGAAAATAGATTACAAGTCATTAAATAGAGCTACTACCTTGAACCTTATTAGAGAGAGTTCTAATCTCGTACTTTAAAATAATATCTTAATTTATTTTATTAATAACAAGCATTCTCATCTATATAGAGGTTAAAATTTTTATTTAAAAATGTTAATTTAATTTGGAATTTAAACCTAATTAGAAATATTCTACTAAAATACTGAAAATTCTACATTATTTAGAAATCAAATATTAATGAAAAATATATATATTGTTTCGAAATCTAATATTAATTAGAATTCCAACTATTTAATAATCTAATATTAATTAGGATTTCATATTTAATTAAACGTTAATTACCTATTCTTGTTGCGTCTTCCATTTTTGCATCTATAATATTACTTTCCCTTAGTTTTCAAACTTGTCCTCAACTTTGAAATGTGGATGTTGCTATCTCGTTGGTTTTTTCTCGTTGTCCAATATCACATTCAATCTAGAGACAAAATAGTTCGTTTACATTGGTGACTCGAAACAAAAGAATCATCGTAGTTATAACACAGCCCTTTAGCCTTCTTTCTGTCATCTCTGTCCTTATTATTTTTTTATAATTAGAAAGAAAGTGTCTTCATATTGTGTCGTAATACTACTACTCTATAGAACTGATGTTTCCTGAACTGAATTGTTCACTTGGTCACGAATTAAGAATGATCACTATAATAGTGTTTAATCATAATGCACAACTGTTGTTTTTTTCTAAAAACTTTGGTCATACTCATTGCATGCACAAAAGTGGCAGGTGATTACATCTCGACCTCTAAGTAGAGACAGTCAATCAGTCCTTCTATAACTTACATATTGATCAACTCGAACAAATCTATTTGCCTGTGCCAATTTTTTTTGAAATTGCCTCTGATACTCCTTAACTAACTCTGTTTGTTTTAAGTTCACCAACACCCCCCAATTGGTTGCTTCCTGTTGGCGGTCCAAATCTTATCGAACAGTATTCTTTGAATCTAACCCAATTGATTATGGGTTGTTAGGATTTTAATTTATGATAACAAAGTTGTGCTTCACTGACCATGTAGAAGGCAGCCAATCCCACCTTATCTCTTTCTGATGTTTGGTGATTGGTAAAAAATTTCTCACACCGATGTAACCAAATCAGAGGATCTTTAAAACCATCGAATGTTGGAAAGTCTTATTTAATGTAGCGAAGAACAACTACATTACTTGGATGATGGTTTGTGCCTTGCGAACGACCTCCCGCATGAAACGTTTGGGGCAGTTGTTCTCACAGGTTATGACTACTGGCAATTCCTTCTGAAACAGTTCGCATGTTCTGACCAACTCCAGCTAACATCTCCATAACTTGTAAGGATAACTCCCACAGCTGACTACCTAAGCGTCTTTCAATTTCTGTTGTCCGTGCTTCGCTTGCGGCGAGAGCTTCCTTTACCATCAATCATCGATCTACCATTGTTACAGAGTCGCCTATTATGTTAAGTTCTGATACCAATTTGTTATGTTCTCGATATTAGGATCTTGTCACTAGGTGGTTATTTGCAATTTCTGGTTCCAAAACTTGCTTCTTCTTTTTATTGAGATTTCTTAAACAGTCTATTTTGTGAAAATAGTCATCAAAATGAGCTGCTACCTTGGACCTCATTAGAGAGAGTTTCAATCTCGCACTTTAAAATAATATTTTGACTTATTTTATTAATAACAAGTATTCTCCTTTATATAGAGATTACAATTCTTATTTAAAAATATTAATTTAATTTAAAATCTAAATGTAATTAGAAATAATTTATTAAAATATTAGAAATTCTATACTATTTAGAAATCAAATACTAATGAAAAATATATATATTATTTAGAAATCTAATACTAATTAGAATTCTAACTATTTAGCAATTTAATACTAATTAAGATTTCATATTTAATTTAATGTCAATTTCCTATTCTTGATGCGTCTTCCATATTTGCATCCATAATACACTACCTCCAATCTGCAACCGTCATCTTTATTTGAGTTGACTAACCAAAGATCGTCGCCGTCCGATGACTAGAAAACAAGTGAAACCTACGTGTGCACACCAGCAAATGAGCATAAAAAGTGTGTTCTATTTGACTTTTGTGAACTAGAGTTGACCAAATTGGTTCGCTCAAACCGTGTTATGCTCTCTTAGACTAGTTTTAGTATGATCTCAGATACTTTGTTGGCTCTTTCTAATTTGTGATCTCTAAAATTTGTGTAATAAAAAAAGTTTAAACATGTGGAATTATAAGTAAGAGAATGAGTCATCATTTAGAGAATAATAGAATTGACAAGTCCTTCTTGATAGTAGTTAAGCACAACTATGCAATTGAATGGGGAAAGATCCAAAGTATTCTCTAATTTTTCAAATTGTGCACGATGAAAGTATATATAAAAAACTTGTCATTCACGAGGAACGTTGCAGAAATCTTGTTTTAATATCTATAGTTGAACGGCTCAATCTGTGAATGCAACTAAATCCCCAACCATATAGACTAGCATGGATAAATCGAGCATTTTGGTAAATAAAGTTTTATTTCTATTCATCATGGTATTTGTAGTGATCCAATCTTGTGATGTAGTTTCTATGTGTTCGCACATATTCTTCTAGGTCAACCTTTTATGATCAAAAGGCTCAACATGATGAGAGTACTAACACTTATCATTTTATGCATGGTATAAAAAAATAGTTTTGACGTTTTTGAGTACAGAAAAGACAAATAAATATAAACATCCAAAAGCACCCGCAATTAATGGAAAAGATAAAGAGAATAAGTCCATCGAAGTCGAGAAGCAAGAAGAACTATCATATCTTTCTAAGAGTAAAATATTGAGGTTATCCAAGATCTTACGCTACCTATAAAGAGTTACATGAAAGATCAATGCAATAAGGAACCTAAGTCAATAATTGAGACTAATGATGTTTAACTCAAAGACGAAGTTGAAGTGCAAATTGGTTCATATATCAATTTCATTCTACCAACAAGATTTCACACTCGTAAAAAATTAGTTACCATCATGTTTGCTACTGAAGAAATGACCGAGCAAAAATACTGCTAATTTTTATGGTAAACGTCAAGTACCAAGGTTTTACATCATTCATCACTTAAAAACTCGTGGACAAGTTTTCTCTAACTAGTTGCAGAATGAGTTATGTCTAAATAAGTTAGCAATTATAATTTTTTAAATGCGAAATTATTAGACTATTTAATAGTTTATTATTATATTATTTAAGAGTATTATTTTAGTTTTAGTAATTTAGAACTTTTGTTCTTATTAGTACTTTCCTATTTGTATTAGAATTAGTATTTCTAATATTATTAGTATCAGTTTCTTACTCTTATTAGGATTAGTATTCCTAATTCTATTAGTTTACTATTTTCTATTTTAATTCTAATTAGGAAAAAAATATTATAAATAGCTTTGTAATTTCATTTATTAATCATTTAAATATTCAGTAATATATTTTTAGAGTTTTTCATTTTTCTAATTGTGTAATGCAATCAAACCCTTAAATCTGATAGTTAAGATTCCTTAGAGTAGTGTCTAATAAGCTCTAGGTGGGATATTTAGATTTTTCCTCCAATTTCTTAGTTGGCAAATTAACTCCAATTTCTCCTGCATTACACATGATTGAGCTTGTTTGAAATTTTTGGTTCACAGAACTCATCAATCTTCAATTTTCGTTGCATGCAAATTTGTAGCATTTGTCAAGTTACAAGTTTCCTATTTAAGTTTTTTGTTTTTTCTATTTATTTTATAACAAGGTTCATCTTTTGTAAGCTTCAGGTTAAGCATGGTGAAAGAGGAAGGGAACATATCACATATAGTATAATATCCAATGTAATTAGGTTCTATTCCTTTCTATTCTTAGTCACAGGTTTCCCTATAACTAGCATTCTTTGCATACAGATATAAGAGCAATACATAAGAAAAGAGTAGGAAAAAAAAACGATTATAAACAGCAACATACCTTCCCAATACATTGTCCCACCCATGGGCAATGGTGATCAAAACGTTCGACACAGTTATTACATATAGAGCAATGAGAGCATCGTGGGGGCCGATATAACATGCATGTTTGGCAATATTTGACTCTGACCACAACCCCATTGACCATAACATCCTTTGTTGGTGGTAAAGTTGGAGGACCACTACTCTGACTTCCCAGCCACTCTGCAGAAATATTTGAACCATCATCTTCAGATTCTGGAGGATGAAAATTACGAGGAATAATGCCAGGATCCCTTCCAGATGCAAGGAAAAGAAGAATAATATCCTGCAATCATTGATAAGATAAAAAAGTTGCAAAGTCAGTGAAAGAGATTAATTTTCCTTCTCTTTTATGTTTTGAATTAATTAAAGAGAATAAATTACGTGAAACGAAGCAAGTGATTAGAAGCAATAGTTTAGCAGAATTTCTCGCATACAACACACATTGAATAGTTGAGCAATTTTTTTCCTCTGCTGTATTTAAATTCAGGCCATTAAGCCCATAACTTGGTTTCAAAGGACAGAAGAATGAAAGACCAACCAATCTAAAGCCCTTTCTCATATGGTCAAGTGAAATCAAGAAACAGTTTCCCCCAGATCAAAATGCAGAATGAGTAGGATTTCACATTTCTTCTGCCAGAATAATAATCACACTTGGAAAAACTTCCGGATAAAGCTTTATATCACTTGTTTTACCTCATTTCCAATTACAGTGGCAGTCAGTTTAACCAACAGATATAAGGAGACATGGTGATTCCAGTATACCTAGGGAAGATAAACTTGGCTATCTGTGTAAATGATTAATCTTTAAAATTGACCTTCATTCTGACATAAATGATAGGAAGTAGCTCATATGCAACAGGAATTTCTTCCTAGAAAAACAGAAATGGACAGTAAACAGAACAGTAACTCACATATGCTGTGAAGACTGCACATATAACTACAATAAGCTCGCCTCTAGGATGCTGGAATCCACGAATAAGGCCTTGAGAAACACCGGCACAAAACATGATAACTGGAGCAACAATTAGGGATACTGTGAGGAAGAGCGACCTCACATCTGGACCAAATATAAGTCTACCGCCAAGGTAGAATTTCTGCAAGGAATATATGAAAATGCATCAATTTTGCTTCATGTTTTAAGCAACACGCATAATCTTCAACAGTAATACAGAGCACATTGATACTACCAAGTCCAAGACAAACAAACATCCAACGCACAATGGGAACAAAATCCAAAACCGCAATATCAATTGATATAAATTTACATAGAAATATGCTAGTGATGCCTATGCAATGAAATAATCTGATGGTAATTTTCGTTTATCCAAAAAAAGGACTAATGATCTGATAGTTTTTAGTTTTACTACTGGTCCTCGTCTTCAACAGCAATCTGAAAATGACTCCCCACACATTAAAAGAAAAAAAACCTGAAACTACATTTTATATAGTTAGGTAACTGCAAGTTTAAGCTACAAATGAATATAATAAATTCAGAATGTAGTATGTTTTAGTGGGAGGCAAAGTGAGATTTATTAGATTCATTGAATACAGGAAGAATCATAAATTGATTGAGCTAAGTTGTAATTAAGCATTAGATTTCATGATCAAGGGAGGCGGGAAAACATAAACGAATAGGGAAAAAAGAGAAGAAATCACATTGCTTCCTCTCCAAACTTGATAAAGGCGGAGGGGAGGGGAAGAGGAAGCGTCGATGATTCGTCTGTTAGAATCGGAAAGGTGAGGAGGCAATGCAGTCGTTGCATACATCCTTCCATTTCTTTTTCCCTCTCCCTCCATTTTCCTGGATTACTTTTCTTCCATTCCACTTTCTCTCTGCGTGAATGACATCTTTTCAAAAATCTGAATCGGAGGGCATCTCTCTTTTTCTCTATTTCTACAATCTTCAGAGTCTTTCCGATTTCTTTCCTTCTTTCTCTTTTAGGAAAGAGAGCTTAAACACCTTACGTAAGCTTCTGAAATGCAGAATCAATCTCCGAGCCCAACCTCAGAGAGCGGGGAGAGGAGGGAGGGAGAGAGAGGAAGATTCACAGAGAGACAGACGAAAGGTCCAATTTCCCCTCACGCATTGGAGAGAAGCTATCAAATTTTGCCATGTGGCGAATTTCTGCCACGAACCCGGATCGCGCGTTATGACAGTTATATCGCCGATTTTTTCAAAATTTTCTTATAAATTTGTCCTGCCTCTCTACTCGCAACGTCATCCTCGTCGGAGCTCTCTCTTCTTCAATCTATCTGCTGCTTACCGCCAATAACTCCATTTCTTCCAATCTGTCTTCTTAAATTTTCATTGGAAATTTTTGAAAGCTGCGAAAATCTACGATGATGAAATCACGAAGTTTCTTGATGAAAGACCGCTCAAGCCTCAGTTTTCTGTACTGGTACAGATTCGTAAAGGTTGTGGTCGACGGGGTCACTTGCCCTTATAGTTCCGGCGAGCGTAGATTTTGTTCAGGATTCTCCGATGATGGCCATGTCGTCATTTTCTTTTTAAAGATGGAATTTTATCAAGGTTGAGTTCCTGGAATGGAGGAATATGGATTTGACTTTGGTTTAACCGTGATGAACATCCATCTGGAGAAGCAGAGTAATTCTTTGTACATATTTTTTTTCTTCCTTCCTCTTTCCTTCCTTCTTCATCTTCTCTCCTTCCGCTGCATCTCCCATAATCACCACACTCTCCCTCCGTCCCACTCAAGCTCCTTCTACCACTATCCTCATCCTTCTCACTTGCACTTCCCCTTTTTTCCCATCCAGGCTACCACATGTACTTTCCTCTCCGTTTTTGTCTTCTTCTAACTTGATTTCTTGTCATCTGCTTACTATCAGTTTCTTACAGTTAATTAGTATGTCGGTCTTTATAGCATCATG